TCCCAGGCACCTGTCATCTACCAGTGGAGTCGCACCCAGAAGCAGTTTGTGGCCCAGGGTGAGGTGACCCAGGTGCCTGATGCCCAGGCTGTGAAACACTTCCGCGCTGGCCGCGACAGCTACCTGTGTCTCAGCCGCTACATCGGCGACTCCAAGATCCTGCGCTGGGAGGGCCCCCGCTTCTCCGAGGTGCAGGCCCTGCCCTCCCGGGGCTCACTGGCCCTGCAGCCCTTCCTTGTGGGTGGCCGCCGTTACCTGGCACTGGGCAGCGACTTCTCCTTCACACAGATCTACCAGTGGGATGAGGGGCGACAGAAGTTTGTGCGGTTCCAGGAGCTGGCTGTGCAGGCCCCTCGGGCCTTCTGCTACATGCCTGCTGGAGATGCCCAGCTGCTCCTGGCCCCCAGCTTCAAGGGGCAGACGCTTGTGTACCGACACGTCGTGGTGGATCTCAGTGCCTAGAGGGGTGCCAAGGCCTCTGGGTTCCTCGGACAGCCACTGGAGGCTAAGGGGGAGCCTCTGTGTGAGCAGTATGTGTGCCCATGTGAAGACACATGTAGCTAACCTGCATACGTGCCCTCACATACGTACACTCTGTTGAGCGTGGGCAGACACTGACTAGCTCAGGGGAGCTACAATGAAGACTCATATATGCACCAGGCAACCCAGTACCCAGTGCCCTCCCATATGTGGACACCTGTTGACCTCACACTCCATCCGCAAGCCCCTCTCCCTCCATTGCTTTCCACATGCTCTGGCCCTGGGGGCAGGGTGCTGGGAGGGAGGCTGAACCGCCCCCTCCTGTTGTCCAGCTTATCCTTTTGACTCTCTGGTCTTTCCTGTTGGTGCTCTAGGTGTCTGTGTACTTGCTCATGCCCCACAGTGCAGCCCACAGCCACATCCTTCAGACTGCTGGGGCACTTACCCATGCTACGCTCCTTGTGCATGCTCACATGGACGCTGACGGACGCCATCAATTACATGCACCACACCCCTGTCTACACTCCCATTTCTGCGTGCACACATGCACATTCAGGACTGCCTAAAGGCTCTCCCCTCCGTGACCTCGCCTCTCTTCTTAGAGGGGGCACACAGGCCCCATCCTCCTATGCTCAGCCCTGGTGTGCCCACCCTGCAGCTGATATGGATGGGAGTGGTGGTGCCAGCCTCTTTGCGCCAGCTTGACCTCTTGGGGGCTAAGCCCTTCTGCCTGAAGCAATAACAGCAGCCCCAGCAGCCCCTGACTTCTCCCCAGTGCTGGCTCTGTTCCCACTGGAGTTTCCTTCTCTGACCCTCAATCTGGCTTGCCTGTGGACAGGAGGCCACTCAGATGAAAACCTTTCTGCTTTTGTTTCCTGTAGCTGCCCTAGCCTTGGACCACCCCCTGGGTTCAGCCCCACCTTTGGGCTGTGGACTCTGAACTGTGCTGGCTTCTTGGGGTGTGTTCAAGAGCTGGCCCAGCCAGGGACCCTGCAAATACCTGAGCCATCTGGGCAGGTGGCAGGAGTGGAGCTGGGCCAGAGAGCGTCTTGGGGGCCCTAGGACCACTCTAATCCACAGAGGCACACCCCAGGAGCACTGCCTTTCAGTGCCGGGGGGTGGGGGTGGGGGGGTGGGGGAGGTGAGGGGGTGAGGGTCCTGTGGGAGCGGCGCCTGGGAGCCAAGCTTCTGCTGCCCTCTGCTGTATGCTGGGAATAGACAGCTCTGACATGCAAGGCTGGTGGAGAAGGCATGGGGCAGGGAAGCTCTTCCCTGTGCCCAGACTGTGTGAGGGCCTCCTGGTGGCAGGATGTCCAGGGGCACTTGGGGGCAATGCTATGATTCACTTGCTTCAAATAAAAAGTTCCCACCCCACTGCTGGCGCTCAGATGTCCGATGGCGACGTCAGCCGCAGCTGTTTCATTAAGAACAGAGCCAGGGCCGTGCTGTCCCTCTTGCTCGCAGGCACCCTGCATCAGCTTTCAGACTCCCCTCCCTGCTCTTTTCCCTCCAAGGAGCGAGTGGGAACCCCCAAGGTCAGCAGGTGCAGGGGTCAGGAGTTCATGGTGATGACACTCAGGTGCTGGCGAGTGTGACTAGTCTCCACCACCTGGAGCTGACTCGCAGTCCAAGAGTTCCTTCCTGGAGACCACACTCTTGGGGTCCACTGAGAGACTGGAGTCTCTCCCTCTGTCAGGTCATCTCCAACCAACATGACCAAAGACAGCTCAGCGTCCCTCTACTCCCCCAGCCCCACTGGGCAAATGTCTGTCATTGCCACCACCCTCTGCCCCAGGTGTGAGATTTCAAGCAAGTCAACTAATTTCTGGAGCCTCAGCTTCTGCTTCTGTAAAGTAGATAATAAAACCTACTTTGTTGAAACCTGATTCTGCCACCTACTAGCTGGGTAGCCTCAACCATGTTATGTAGCCTATTTGTATCTCAGTTTCCTCATCTGTAAATGTGGGTAAACATGATACCTCCCTGACTTGGTTAGGTGAGATTTACATGCATTAAATGTATAACATATTAATATGTGTAATGCCCTTAGAATAGTGTGCCTGGCACAGAACTATGATTTTTATTGGTCTGTAGGCCTATAAGAAATATAGAGGTGGCTCAGAGAAGGGTGCTTTGTGGGAGTGGAGGTTGCTCTTTGGGGAGAACTTCTGCCTGTGGATTAGGGGTCCTTACCCATCCTCAGACCCAGAGCCCCTGTACCCTGTGTCTTACCTGTAGCCTCAGATGCCCAGCCAACCTGCCCTGACCACTCCTCACAATGGGGAATCTCACAGGGGACATGTCTGAGTTCCCACCTCCTCAAACCACATTCATGTGCTCTTGGCTTAGCAGGTGCCCCTTGGGTCTCGCAGCCACACTGTCCTGGGAATGTCTGTCCTGCTTTTTCAAATGGGGAAAGGGCCTCATGCTGTGCCAGGGAGAGGTTGCCAGGGAAAGTGAGTTGTCTCCAAGACACATTGGCACTCTCTTGCCCAGTAGAATGATAAATATCACTCTGACCTTAGCCCCTGCCCCCCACCAGGGCTCCTCCCAGGGGTCGGAGACACTTGTCTCCCTGAATGGCCAGCTTTCTGCACGTGGGGAATGGAGCTGTCTGTATGCTTGCTGGTCACCTGTCCTGGGGGTCATCTGTGTGTCCAGAGAGCTGCTTAGCAACCCAGGGTAACCGAGTGACTGTGTCATCAGCTCAGGACCAAAGGCCGTGAGAGGCAGAGTCCACTCAATCTGCCAAAGCCTAGGAGGGGGGCACCCCTCAGCTGCCAGCCGCACACCCCTCCAGGCTGAGCCCTGTTTTCAGGAGCAGACCTCTGACATCTTGTCCCTTAGATGTCCCAAGCACAGTCACCGGCACCAGGAGTCTCCACCAAGAGACCTTCCTAGCTGGGTGGGCTTAGAGTGGGCACAGGAGAGCTTCTCGAGAACCCAGTGAATTGGAGGGAAAGAGAGGCCTGTGATGCTGAGGTCAGGTGTGCGACTCTGGAGGGCAGCTGGTGGAGAGGAGGCCGTTCTGTAGCAGGTACAAAGTACCTGTGGCTCACATGCCCACGGTCAGCCCAGGTACCCTCACCTCCAAAGAACGGATGGCTATTCCCTCTTCGGCAACCCTCTGCTCCTCCTGAGCTTGTCCCCTACTGAGTCAGTCACATCCTTCTGCTCCAAGGAGACAAGGATACTTTTCACCTCGATTACAATGTCTATGCCTAGAGATGGATGGTGGGATCCTAGCTCTTGGGCGTTCCTCCAATGTAGGGTAGGAGCTGGGCCCAGAGTGAGGGGCTGGTTAGGCAGGGAGAGGGAGGCCTTAGGGCCTCGGGGGAGTTTCTCCTGTGTCCGGTTTCACTGCAAGCTCTCACACCCAGCAACAGCAATAAAACTGATGATAATAATTAAGACCATATAATCATTATGTGTGTTTATTTATTCCCAAGAAACCTCCTTTCCCTGGCCCCATCATTGCCTATTCCATCCTTTTGATAGGTGGTGGGTGTTAATATGGCTCTAATAAAAAGTAATAACTGCCAAGTTTCCCACTCCACAGCTCTCGGCAGCTCTGCTGTCGCCCTCACCTCAGGCCCTGAGGCAGAGGCGAGGCTGGGGGAGCAGGGAGGAGGGGAATGCTGTGTTACCCATTGTCAGAGTGAGGCATGAGGCCCTAAGCAGAAGAGGTACAAAGAATGCAACCCCACGTGGAAAGTTGTAGAGGCAGCAAAGTTTGCCTTCTCTTTTGAGCTTCCTGTCGTCTTCCAGGTATACACCTCCCTCCGGGGGGCGGGGGGCTCCCCCGTTCCCTGTCCCCTCCCAGGGCCGCCCTCAGACGACGGATCAAGCCAAACGTTTATCCAACAAGTGCCACCAGGTGACGTTGGGCAAGCTTCTTTTCGTCACTGAGCAAGCCTATTTCCTAAATGGGAAAAAAGGATCAAGACCCTGCGCACAAAAATGCACTTCAAAATGGGCATCGTTGATGCTATGAAGCCCTCAGGGATACTTGTGTTCTGGACTCACAGGAATACGTTTCCACCTATTCAAACTTCTGGGGAAGAAGGCATGGGGGGCTAGGGCCTCTGCCTGGAAGCTCTGAAATCATCGTGGTCAGCCTGCGCAGGCGTGTGGGCCCTGGACCGGTATCCCACCGCGAAGTCAACTCCCTCCCAAAGCCCACTCTTCAGGGTGAGTCGGGTGGGCGCGATGAGTCCCTCAGGTTCCCTCACCCATACTTTCTCCCCACTTTCCCTATAGGTCAACTCAGCGTCTTTGAGGCGTTTCCTGACTGCTGACCCAGTGGTGCAAGAGCCGGATTTGCTGGCCCTCAGCCAAGCCACTTTTGTGCCTGGGCCTTGAGGGGGGACCCTGGCCCATCATAAGCCCATTCCCATTTTACAGAGGGGAAAAACAAGGCAAAAGGGGGAAGCCAGTGAAGACCACGAAACCTTGAGTTCAAATTTCCTTTTTCCTCCTTCCACCGCCCCACCTTGTTTTTTTTTGTTTTTTTTTTTTTGCCGCATCTCATACCCTAATTTTCCCGCTTAGGAGGGCTGCTCAATCTTCGGGGCCCACCTGCGAGGCGGCGGAGCGTCGCCGCTTTAAGGAGCAGGGCGCTCGCCCCGCCCCCACCCTCGCCCCGCCCCCGGGGCTGCAGCGCGCCTGCGCCCGGCGCCGGCGACCCGGGTTGGGCAGAGCCGGGCGCCGTGCAACTTTCAAGTGAGCTGGGAACTCCGCCCCGCGGCGGGCCAGGCGCCTGGACCGCGGGGACCGTTCGGGCGAGGACTGCGACCCACCACCCCCGGCCCGGACCCGCCGTGGTGCCCCGCGAGGGCCGAACGCCTGGCTCCCCGCGGCAAGCAGCGCGAGTCGTGACTGCCGGGCGGCGCGGCGGGCAGAAGAGCGCGCCAGCCGGTACCGGCTCCCGGCCGGTGCCTCCGTGTGTGGCCTGCCTGCCCGGCCTGCTGGGCTCCCCCTTCTTCCGGCTAGCCGCTCTGCGGAGTTAGGGAGCGGCAGGTTCCGATTTGGGGGTGCCCCTTCCGTTCCCGCTCCTCCACTGACTCCCCATCCTGGCCCCGCGGGAGCGTGCCTCTTGGCGTCTTCTTGGGTGGTCTCCCTTCACCCCCGAGGCTGCAGGATGGTGTCCTGGATGATCTGTCGCCTGGTGGTGTGAGTACGGCAGTTCTCAAACTCCCTCTAGCCCCGGGTGCCAGTCCGCCCCTGGGGTGGAAGCTGGGAACGTCTGGTGAGAAAGGGGACTTTCTAAGCTCGGTCACACCTGTCCCTCCCCCCCGCCCTTCCCCCACTCGCCACAAGGGTTAACGGCCTTCCGGGCATGCGCTCGGCATCCAGCAGGGCGTACTTGTCCCCCCACCCCCAAAGCCTCCCGTGCTGATGGCGATCCCTCCCGAACTCACACACTGCAGACGGGTGCGTGGGGCGGACGACCACAGGCCGGCCCTCAGCCCTTGGGCAAACACCAGGTGTGGTGGCACGTTGTGGGCGGAGAATCCAGGTGCCTGCTTCCCGGCTGAGTAGTCAGTCACGTGACTCACCACCCTGGCCTCGGCGTCCCGCTCTGTCCTCGTCACCTTTCAGTACTCCAGCACCTGGCTGTCTGCACCGTGGCAGTGCTGGTCTGGTGGCCCTGGGCTGGATTGCACGTCCATGGGAGGGGACAGTCTGGTGCTCTCACCAGCTCAGAAGTCTGCCTCCCACCGGCCTTGTTGAGTGACTGTGTGCTGTCCCTTCATCATGTATCCCTGGGCCACCAGGGCAGGCCTGGGCAGGCTTGGGATGTTTGTAAACAGCAAGGTGGGGAGGGCAGCTTCCAGGGCACTGACTCAGGTGCAGGTTGTGCAAGCCAGGGGGGAGAACAGGGTAGGCACTGCCACCTCACACCGAGAGGGAGGCGGCCACCTGGTGAAGGGCAGTGGGGCATGGTGCCCCTCACTCTCCCTGTCTCTTTTCTGGCTGCTCTTCTAGGCTGGTATTTGGGCTGCTGTACCCAGCTTATGCTTCGTACAAGGCTGTGAAGACCAAGAACATTCGTGAATATGTGAGTGTGGGGGTGGGCAGGAAGGCTTGACTCAGGTGGGGTGGGACGAAAGCTTTGGTGGGTATGGTAGGACTTGGCAGGGTGGGAAAGGTCTGAGCTGGCCTCCCCCTCCTCCAGGGGCATAAAATCGGGTGGTGTAGCTTGAGTGAGTGGGTGTGGATGAAGGGTGGGCTTTTGGGTGCCTGTGCAGGATCTTGTGGGTGAAGCCCATTGCAGGTGGGTACAGGAATGAGTAGCAGTGTTTCAGAGGCAACTCTCTAGGGCCAGCCAGATGCCAAGGGAATGCAGTGGGACAGGCTCTCTGGAATCTCTGGGCTGGGTCAGCCCAGGACAGGGGAGTTGGCTCAGCAGGCTCAGCCACTGGCTCCTGACCTCTGCCCCCTGCCTCCCAGGTCCGGTGGATGATGTACTGGATAGTCTTTGCACTCTTCATGGCAGTGGAGACCTTCATGGACATCTTTATTTCCTGGTATGGGTGTAGGGGGGCTGTGGGCCATGGTGAGTGGTGGCCCACCCTTGGCCTGGCTCCCTGGCTAACCTTGTCCCGCTGTGCTCTGACAGGTTCCCTTTCTACTACGAGATCAAGATTGCTTTTGTGCTGTGGCTGCTCTCGCCCTACACCAAGGGGGCCAGCCTGCTTTACCGCAAGTTCGTCCACCCATCCTTGTCCCGCCATGAGAAGGTGCCGCAGCGTGAAGGCAGGGAGGAGAGCATGGCAGGGTGTGAGGGAAGGAGCCCTGGACTTGGGCTTCGGGACACTGAAGGACACCTGGGTTCTAATCCTAGTCCTGCTGCTCTTTAGCTGTGGGATCTTGACGGAGCCTAGCCTTCTTCCTCTTTTGGGATAATCAAGTCGGGGCACATGTGAATGACCTTTTGAGGGTGTGAAACGTCAGCTGGAAGTTGTTTTGGGGATGGTGGGGGCAGAGGATGTGGCATGGCCATTCATTGAGGTGTAGGAGTGGGTGAGTGGGTGGGTCGGGGTGGTTGTGGGTGCACTGTGGGTGGGGGTGGGCTGGGAGGTGTGGCATGCAGTGGCTTCTCTGGGGCTGCAGAGGAAGAGTGACTCCAGCTGTCCACCTGAGCTCTCCTCCTCCCTGTTCTGCAGGAGATCGACACCTACATTGTGCAGGCCAAGGAGCGCAGCTATGAGACAGTGCTCAGCTTTGGGAAGCGGGGCCTCAACATTGCTGCTTCAGCCGCTGTGCAGGCTGCCACCAAGGTGCCCTGGGCCCCCGTCCTCCAGCACCCTCTCCAGTGCCTTTTGGGCGAGTCTAGTTCACTGTCAGGGAGCCGAGAGATAGCAGCTGTCTGTGCTGGGGAACAGGGGTGAGAGGTGGCAGGTGGAGTATTGGCAGGAGCATGGCGCATGGAGTTCAGACTTCCCTGGCTCTGACACTAACTGCGAGTGGCCGCTCCTGCTCTCTGGGCCTTAGTTTCCTGTTGGTGCCACAAAGGCCTGGGGCTAGAAGCTTGCCGAGTTGCTCTCAGTTGTGAGGCCGGTGCCCCAGTGACTACCTGCAGGTCACCTGTTGACTTCCCTGGGCTGAAGTCTCTTCCTGCTGGGAGCCGTGCCCCTCCCTCCAGGTGACACAGCAGCTCCCCATGCCTTGCAGAGTCAGGGTGCGCTGGCTGGAAGGCTGCGGAGCTTCTCCATGCAGGACCTGCGCTCCATCCCTGATACTGCCCCCACCTACCAGGATCCCCTCTACCTGGAGGACCAGGTTCCCCACTGCAGGCCACCCATCGGTGAGTGGGCAGAGGGACCAGAGCTGTCCCCAGAAGAATGACATCCTCCATGCAAGCTGTGGTTTCCCCCAGGGCTACAGGAAGGCCTGGCTCGGCCCCAGGCCTTCAGACTGTGCAAATGCCCAGCGCTGCCTCCCTCTCCTTCACACAGGGTACCGGTCAGGGGGCCTGCAGGACAGTGACACTGATGGCGAGTGTTGGTCCGATACAGAGGTAGTTCCGCAGCCACAAACCCGGCCCCCCCGAGAGAAGCCTCTGAGCCGCAGCCAGAGCCTGCGTGTGAGCAGGAAGAAGCCGCTGGTGCGGGAGGTCAGTGGCAAGGAAGGGACAAGGGAGATGGCTGCCCTGGACGTCAGCCCAGACCTCTCATGGTGTGCCTGCTCTCTCCCCCAGGGCACCTCACGCTCCCTGAAGGTTCGGACGAGGAAAAAGACCGTGCCCTCAGACATGGACAGCTAGGGTCTGCAGAGCCCGGCCCAGTCTTACCTCGGGCCCTGCAGGGTGCTGGGGGCTGTTTGAGGAGCCTCTGGCTGCACGTCCAGGCTATCCGCACCAGCTGCCCGGGCTCTGCCCTGCCGGCTCCTGCTCTTGGTTACGGGCCACACGCAGGGACGTACTGGCTATGGGCCAAAGCGGGCTGGGCCCACGCTGCTGTTTACTGCCCTTCTCATCCCTCCGCCTTCCGGGTGTGGGACCAGAGCCCTCCCCAGACCCCTGCAAATGAAACCCAAAACCTTGCCAGCTGTGTTCATTCCTTCTTGTCCTTCCAAATACTTGACAGCCTTCTCCAAGGCCTTGTGTGTATCCTGGTTGTATGTTTTGTGTTGGTGAATGAGGTCAGGTTTGTGCAGTTTTGATAAATAGCTACATGAAAGTGTTGTTCTCCTGGTTTGTATTGCAAGTCCTCACAGCACACACATTATTACACAGTCTGCTAAGGCCAGGCTCGGCCTAGGACGAGGGCTAAAAGGACAGACAGACTGCCAGAGGGGCCCAGTCTTCCAGGGGAGATTGCCATTGACAAAATAGTTGTGAGGCAGCAAGGACTGTCATTGAAAGCTCTTGGGGACCTCAAAGAACATAGATGGGAGAGTGAGGGGACCAGCCCAGAGAGGGGTCAGAGTTTAAGAAGACTGGTCGGGGGCAGATAGGATTGGGTCTTGACAGGAAGTAGAAACCAGTGAGAGCGAAGGTGTGTAGGGAGCTCAGGCAGTGTGATCCTTTGGGAATTATCTGGATCTGTGCACAGATTAGGCCTGGGGAGCCCACCTTCTTCCATGGGCCTTTGAGGGTCTCTAGGTGCTCCTGAGGGAGAGGGGCGCTGAGTTCCTGTAAATGCTAGTAACCCTGGAAGCATTGCAGCTCTGTGGAGTGGCCGCAAGAGGGCAGCAGCTGACAGGGTCTGGACTGCCCCCGGCTTCCAGGTCAATGAGGGCGGCGCTCGAGGGCTGGCCAGAGCCTTGCCCTGCAGGGGGCTGGCAACTGGCTGCTGGAGGGAGGATGGGGAGCTCCAGCGCAGCCTCCAGTGGCCCCCCCCTGCTGCTTTTGCTCATTGGTCCTCAGCCTGCTCCATCCATCAGTCTCCTCTCTTCTCTGAAGACCCAGGCTCTTTGCCTGGGCTGGCTCCACTCCTTCCCCTCCTCTAATTCCTGGGGCAGTGGCGCGGGCTCTGCCCTCCTGCCCCTACATGCTGGCCTCACCTCAGGGTCCCAGGGCTGCTCCACTCTCCCACCCCCATGGCAGCTCTTCCTTCCCACCTTTGACTAAGCAAACAGGTGGGTGAGAGTGTTGGCGGCAAGAGGGAAATGGCGTGGTAACCCCGAGTGACTGAGGAGTGTGGGTTAACTCCTGGTGTGGGGATTATCCGGGTTTTAGTTGGAAGAGGCGCTTAATCTGCCAGGGTGGTTTAGCTCCTCACATACTGGTGTTCAGTGACTTCCTATCTTGGCGTTCTCTTGCATCATGATGTTGCCTTATCTCTTCATTTATTCATTCAAAAAATCTTTATTGAACATCTGTCAGGTACCAGGCATGTTTCAAGATACTAGGGATGCAAAATCTAGTAATGGCTCCACCGAGAACGTGCTCCTCTAAGCCCCGACACATAGTAATTTAATCCTCACAACAATTTCAAGAGGTCTGTACTATTATAATTTCCATTTTACAAATGGTAAAACAGGCACCAGGAGGGCAGGTAATTTGCCTGAGGTCACACAGCTAATAAGTGGCAGAATTGCGCTTTGAACCAGCCAGTCTGGCTTCAGAGCCGGCGTACTGAACTGCTGTGCGGGACTTAAGTAAATGAGATGTTTCTTGCCTGGGAGGCGAGGAGAAAGAGACTAGCACATATCAAACACTGGTTGTGTGCGTGACTTTGTGCTGGGCATTTTACAGAGATGGTTTCCTTAACTCCTCTCGACAAGCCTATTAGGTAGGGTTAAACCCATTTTACAGGTGGAAAAACTGAGAGTTGGAGAGGTGCAGCAACTTGTGCACGATCATGCTGACTTAGGTTGGGGCCCTGTCTCCTGATGCAAGCCTGCCCAGAAGTTGCCTTGGTAGAGGTGGAATGGCAGGATCCACAGCCCTGAACTGGGAGAACAAAACAAAGGAGGATGTGATGAGCCAGCAGAATGAAACAAAAATTCAAAGGGAGTGGAGGTTGGGGAGAGGCCTGAAGGTGTAGGGTGGTGAGGGAGCTTCCATAGGAGCTAGGGCTTCCCCTGCCCTCATTCCTAGGGTCACTTGGGCCCCTGGGCTGAACGGCTGATGCTTCCTCAGGCCCAGGATGCCCTGCAGCTTCCTCGTGAGCCCTGCGGCCCCACAGCTCCTTCCTTGGGCCAAGCCGCTCCTCTGTCTCCTGAGCACATCATAGTCACCCCAGCATCAGCCTCCAGGCCTGTGCTCCAGCCATCTGAATCTCCTACCCTCCCAACAGTCTTTCTTTCCAGGCCTGTTGTGGCTTTCTTTCAAGACCTGCTTTCTCTGAGAAGCCTTCCCTGACTTGCCAACCCCTCCTCAAGCTCCCAAGGCTCCTGATTGCTGGCCCGCTCACCCCGTCCAAGGCACACAATGCCGTGGCCTGTGCTGGTGTGTCCACCATCCTCCCCTCTCCTCCTGACTGGCCTCCCCTAAGCCTGAATTGCTTTGTGTTCCCCTCATCAATCCTGATGGTCTGGTGGCTCCATGCTGTTCCCCTGACATGCTCTTCCTCCCCCACCCAACTCGGTCATATTCCTGTTTGCCCTTTGAACCCCACTCAGACATTACTTTCCCCAGGAAGCCCTCCAGACCACGCCCCCTCTGTTCCTGCATGGACTCCCGTTTCTGCCTTGAGCACATGGTGTTTTCTCTCCCACTGCATTGTGACTGCAGAAGGAACGGGCTTGCACCTTATTCACTTGTATCCCAGCCTGGAACAAGTGCTAGTTTAGCCAAAGTGAAACATTGTCGAACATGTGTGGCTGGTGATGGCCCACTTGTTCTCCTACTTCTGAGCTCCAGCATCACTGCCTGCATGAAGCTCCCTGGCCTTCCCCAGGGGGGGACTAGAAGCACCTTGTAATCATTTGTTAACATGCTCGACTCCAATAGTCACCCCACTGCCTGGCACGGGGCCTGATACCTAAGAGCCTTCAGTGACAGTTTGCTGGTAAAAGAGCAAATACGCTGAGTATAAGCTCGTCCAGGTGCGGACGGCTTGTGCTTCCATCTTTGTGCCCTGCATCTCCTTGGTGCCCACCACAGGCGAATGACTGCTTCAGTCCTACAGGTTCCAAGACATCCTGGGGCCAGAAGGGAAGGGGCGCAGAGAATTCCAAATTCTGGAGGACTGTCTGGCCATGCATACACGTGATCCCAGGACCGGGGCACTGGGCGTGGGCTGGGCTTCCCTCACAGCCTTCCCTGTCCTTCCGAGAGTCACTGAGACACTGCCCGGCGCTGCCTCCCTGTGCATGGGGTTCCTGGCCCCTCCGGGAGGGTAGGCTGTGCTCTGGCCTGACCACAGCCTTCAACTTTCTGTTATCCACCAGTGTGTCCACTGCCTCTGTTCCAGGCAGGATCTGGGCTGGGCCTCCATTCCAACTGGCCTGGAGCACGGGTGTGCCAGGCTCCAGGCTGAGCACTGGGTAAGGAGAGGCAGCAGCCTTGGCCCGCCCCCTTGGAATCACACACCTCTGCTGGACCCAGGTTCCAGGCCTGCTTGGTTTGCGGGCTCACTCTTTAGCCTCTCTACCCACCTTGCCTGCTTCTGAGGGCCACCTCCACTGCCCCCAGGTTCCCAGGTGCAAGTGGCCTTTCATTCCAGCCTCCCTTTTCCCTCCTTCCCCCCGCCCACCATCCCTTGGACCTGTCAGGCGACTCCTCTGTCTCCCTGCCTCTTCAGCCCCTCTCAGCCTGTGGCCCCTCCATGTCCTGGTCCCCCTTCCCTGCCTCTGACCTCCAGGTGCACTGGCCCCCCTGCTGTATTTTTCGCTGTCACTCTCAGTGGTGGCTGTGTAGTTAGCCTCTTGTTTCAACACAGCCCTGGCCCAGGCTAAGTTGGGGAGTCCTAGCTGGCACTGCCACACCCTTGAGGGGGTTGAGGAGATGAGCACTCGGGTTCTCACCCACTGTCCCCCACCCACATCAGGGACTGCAATGCCAATAGCTGGTAAGGGGCAGAAGCAGGGCAGGAGATGATGCCCGCTGCTCAGGAAATTCAGGGGGCAGAACTGGGGTTGTTAGGCAGAAGGTCCTTGGCCTGGGGCAGAAGGGGGTGGTTAGATTGCAGCAGGGGGGCCGGGGGGAAGGAGGAGGGGCCTTGGGGAGGTTCCACTGAGAAGAGGAATTAGGTCAGGGATGTGGGTTGGGTGGGTGAGAACGGAGGGGGCATGGCTGCAGAGCTTCCTCCTGGCTCTAAGAGCATCTCCACACTTCCCTTCCTCTCCTCCTCCCTGGGGGCCTGGGAGAATTCTCCCCAGAATTCCCCCTCCCCCATGCCCCCGCCCCAGGCATTGCCACAAGGGTGGGGGGGGTGGGGGGAGGCCAGTCTCAGCTGTCTGAAGGATGGAGGGGCCGGGGAAGCAGGGCTAGGTGCCCAGACGGCCGCGTGTGTGGGAGGGGATGTCCTCAGATGCCCTCCACCCGGCAGTCCCCGCTCTGACGTGGGTGCCCCCCCCCCTCCCCGCCCGGATTAGTGGCAGCTTGGCCTGACTCTCCGGGGCTCCTTCCCCCGCCCCCGCCTGCTGCCCTCCCCTGGGCAGGGGGCTGCTCCACCCGAGGGCACAGTGCTTGCCCAGGTAAGGGGCTCTGGGGACAGCGCCAGGGCAGTGGCTCTGAGTGCTGCTGTGCGTGTCAGCATGAATGTGTATATCAGTGTGTGTGTGTCAGTGCTCCAGGGGTCGGGGTGGGGCCGGGGTGGGCCCCCACATGGCTGGAGGTGCTGGTCAGTTTGCCTTTGTCCACGAATTCAGCATTGTGTCCACGCGTGTGTGGCTTTCCTTGTATGTTTGTCTTTTGTGTGTCTCCTCAGCTCTGCTCTGTCTTCAGGCACAGAACAGTCGGCTACAAGGCTTGGTGGGCCTGGGGAGCAGGATGGGGAGCCGTTGAGGATGGAACAGGGCTTCTTCCCCGCCCCCCCCACCCCTGCCACCGGTGGCCCCTGGGCATTTCAGAAACCTGTCCTGAGAGTCCCGGTCTAGTCCACAGACGGTGACCTAACAAAGCAGACATAGCAACGGGGGGTGAGGTGGGGGACGTGTCTGTCCTCCCCCGGGACAGTCCCTGTCCCCTTTGGGGATGACAGTGACAGGTCCTTAGGGACCCAGACAGCCCAGGCTCTCACCCTGCCCTGCCCAGCCTCTTCCAGGCCCCAAGCTGTAGGAATCTCCC